AAATGTGTATTTGTGTGTATACAAGAAAAATTAATAATATTAGTATAAAAAGATCTATTTGAATTATTAGGTGGTTCTTCTAAAATATTATTTCAATTATTTTATTAAAAAATACTGATTTTAGAACATAAAAAGAAATAAATAATAAATAATTGATGTTATGTATGCAAATACATAATTAATTTGCAATATATATATATATATATATATATATATATATATATATATATATATATATATATATATATATATATATTCGATAAATTTAGAATATATAATATAAACAATTTTTTTTTAAAAAAAACCCATCTAAGCTATGTGGAATATATTAAAATCAATAAATTGAAATAAAAACTATTACAAAATTTTTCTCCATAAATTCTTAATTTTTGATGAAAGAGATTCTTGAATTGCAAATTAAATTATAAATAAGTTCATCTCATTTTAAGAAATGAATTAATTAATTCTTTTGGTTTAAAAAATAATTTTTTTAATTTTTTAATCAGTATTGATCACGAATAATTTATTTTTTTATAAAATATCTTTTTTTATATTTTACTTTTTTTTCTAAGATCATTTTTTTTAATCTTCCAATTTACCATTTTCTTAATTCTACATGATGGTCCTAAAAAAGTAAAAAGAAATTAGGTCTCTAGTTACCACTATTATGAATCATTGAAGTTTATTTGCACTTCTCTCTTTCCAATTCCTTATCTCAAAAACCATCTCTACCTCCCTCTCGCTGCATTTATTTTTATTTTTCTCATTTCTTTTTTCACCCTTATTAATTTATACAATTACTTGAGTACGAATAAGGATCACTAAAACAACCCAACATAGAACTTTATGGTCTTTTTAGATAATACTAAGATACTTTTGATTGGATGAGATAATTTTTTTCAAAAAAATAAAATGTCTTTCTTCGTATTTTAGTTATTCTTATTGTTTTTTTCTATTTCTTAAAACAAAAAATAAAAATAGCAAAATGGTAAAAAGGACAAAAGAATTAGTTTTCAAACCAAAGGGACTAATTAGTTTATTTCTCAAAAAAAAAAAAAAAAGGGACCAAGAAGCAACAAAGAAATGTATGAATAGAGACATTGGGTTAGGAGCTAGAGTAAGTGAATAGTCTCACCTTCACTTCTTTTAGTTTTTTTTTTTTTTTATATATATATAATGTTTGATAGGCATTTATCATGCATTTTTTTTTTCGACATGAATTATATAATAAACAATTGTTGTTTTTGTATTTAATATGTATATGAGTGCATACACTTCATTAATTATTTAATTATCAAACACAATGAAGGTAATTAATGCACACGTAAATTATTTAAATATTTGACATATTCAAGTTTCTTTTCAATGTTATATAAATATTTTGGATATCAATTAATATATTTATTTATAGAAAAATGTTAAGAAAAAAAATCATGATATGGATCATTTTGCAAGTGGAGCCAAAAGTCATAAATGGAGAAAACTTCGCTTAATGGTAAAATATCATCAAAGAAAAAAAAATAAAGTCCGTATCTAAAAGTTAATTTGAGATTTCGTCAAATTACCAAAAGAATTTATAGCCATTGGTTGTTGATGTGCTTATAAAACTAAAAGAAATTCTTTTAGTAATATTGAATGATATAAAACTAGAATTGTAACTAAGCATTATATCCAAAAAGAATACATAAATTATCATGAAACCTTCTCTCCGAGTCTTCAAAACGGATTCATCCAAAATCATAATGCCATTGATTGCTCATTTTGTCTTGGAGTTACATCGGATGGATGTGAAAACAATATTTTTAAATGAATATTTAGATAAAAAGGTGTGTATGAACCAACTTGAAGGTTTTTATGATTACATAAATAGCCAATAGTTTTGTAACCTAAAAAGATAAAGCAAGCCCCTTGATAAAGGTATACTAATTTTCATAATATTATTATATCATATAGTTTTATTGAGAATATTTTTAATCAATGTATATATCTCAAAATTAGTGAGAGCAAATATATTTTTCTTGTCCTATAAGTAAAATACATTTTGCTTGCAAGTAGTGACTTGAATTTACTTTATAAGACTGAAAATTTTCATTTTCAAAACTTTGATATGAAGGATTTTTGAAAAGCCTTTTATGTTAGTATAGGGATTCATAGAGATGGATCTCAAAGAATATTAAAAATGCCTCAAAAGACTTATATTGAAAAAAGTTTTGAAATGATTCAAGATGTCAAATTATAAATCTTCAATTGCATCTATTGTCAAAAGATTTATATAAATATAATCAGAATTAATATCCATAAGATGCATTAAAAAAGCACTAGATAAGTAACATTTTATAGGTATATGTAGTAGACAGTTTGATGTACGCACGAGTCTATACAAGACTCGACTTGGGGTTTACGGTAGGAATGTTAGAAAAGTTTCAAAGCAATCTTGGAATGGAACATTAAAAAGTTACTAAGAAAGTCATGAGGCATTTACAAGCAATCAAAGATTACAAAATTGACTTGCGGGCATACTAATCATATTGAGATGATTAGTTATTCGGATTCAGATTTTGTTAGTTGTGTAGACATAAAAAAATCTATTTCAAGATATATTTTTATTATCATTTGAGGAGTTGTAATTTGAAGAAGTACTATGATTTATGATAAAAGAAAAATTCATTGCGTGCTATGAAGCAACCACATAAGCTATTTGATAAAGAAATTTCATTTTTAGTGTAAAAGTTAGCTATTTTATATCAAGACTAGTAAAGATTTATAGTGATAATTTAGCTAGAGTTTTCTTCTTTAAGAATAATAAAAATGGAAGCCAAAACAAGGATATCAAAATAAAGTATCTCATTACGAGAGAGGAGATGAAAGAACATGAAGTGCTCATTGAGCATATTAGCATTGAGCTAAAGGTTGCGGACCTCATGACTAAAGCATTGTTGCAAAACGAGTATAGAGATTATATGGATCGCATAGATCTAGCAAACTCATTTGATGTTTGACTTTATTTTCTTTTTAACCGATTGTCTAGACATTTTTATATTATTTTTTAGACAATGACAAGATTTTTCTATATATAAAGTATTGTTTTTTATATTTGTTGAGACATATAAAGTTAGACTCAAATGATTTATTAAAAGTTTATTCATAAAATTTATTTGCTTATTAAGTATTATTTTAGAATGCAATGTATTGTAATACAAAAAAGAAGTACTTTATTGTAAAATATGAATGCTATGATTTATGAGTTATATTTTTGACTTAAGTGTGAGTGTTTTCACTTAGTTATTTTAGATTCTATAAAAAAATTGTCATTTTTTAAAAAGTGTTATATGGCCCAAGTAGAAAAATGTAAGAAATATCTCTTTAATGTGGCTTATGTATCATGTCTTGTTTTCAATCTATAAGTGACAATTAAAAGTTAATGGTCCATTAGACTTAAGTGGTGGGTTGAGCATATTCATAATGGATAAAAGTGTAAAATCGAGTTAATGAAAGATGTCCTAATCTAACCATGTAAATATTAAGTTAAGTTTTGTGTCATGTATCAACACACATAAAATTTTAAAGTACTAGAATATACTAGAACACTCTTTTTCTTGACCGACAAGTTTTTTTGCTTGAGTACTTAATCAATTATGATAAGATGTAATAAGAACTATGTATCTTATTAATTTTCATTATGCTTATAGGCTTGATATATTTAATTTTTCTTAAAAATTAGACAATCAAAGGATTAGTGGTAAGTAGTCAATAGGCCGAGTGAAAGGATGGTCGGACTTAGCTAATGCCAACAATCAAGGACCTAATTGCCACCACAAGAAGAGTTCAAGGGCTATTGTGTACCATCTCAAATTGACGAGACTGAATAATTTGATTCCCTACTGAAAACATGGATGGAAATCTCGTATCACGTATCCTTTGGTTGCAAAATTTCCAATTTATTAAACCCATAAGTTGGAGTTAGGGGTTTTCACTATTCGGTGAAAACCGAATAACCGAATCGTACCAAAATATCAATTTTGATGCATTTTTTTTAGAAATTAAAATAAATAACCGAACCGAAATAATTTTGGTTTTTGGGTTCAATTATATATTTTTTTTAAATTCGGTTAACCGAAAAATCAATATATATATATATATATATATATATATATATATATATATATATATATATATCTTTTTGAAAGTTAGATCATTCGAGTGCATCCCTAATTGAAAAACCCTTTTTCCCCTAGATGCACTTCCTCCCACAACCTTGTACATAATCTTTTTGTTTTTGCTACAAGTTTGGATGTATACAAAATAATAAAGACGTTGGTAGATTTTCTATCATCTCAAATTCAAACTTTCTTGAGTAAACAATTTATTATTTGTTTATCTATCAATGCATTTGCTATTTTTTTTTAATGTAACTTAGGTTCCTAACTAGTAGTCCGTAAAACAAAAAGAAACCCACTCTAAACAGAGATTTAAGAAACTTTAATAAAATTAATCATTTGTAAAAAAAATAAAAAATGAAATAAAACGAGTAAAAACCGAATTATCGAACATCGAAACGAACTAAAAAACAGAATGATATTTCAATTTGGTTTCGATTTTTTTTTTTTAAATTCGATTAACCGAAAATCGTTCAAAATATTTCGAAATCGAACCGAATAATCGAACAAACATCCCTAGTTGGAGTTAACTTGACAATGTTAACGTGTCCCGTTTAAAAAAAAAATCACTAGAGTTATTTATATTGTCAAATCTGCATTTGTTGGTGAAATAAAAGTTTTTTTTTTTTTTTCAATAAAACACAACTTTAATTAATATTTAATTCACCCCCGTCAAGTACACATGTGATTATCACGGATAATCCTACTTGTGACCTAATTAAAACTTATGTGATACCTTGAGGATTCAGATGTAGTTTGAATATTATTATCATTTGGCCTTCTATGGAAAGTATGTTGTTTGGCCTGTTGGGCTAGACTCCAGAGAGTGGAAATCGCGGGAATATGGCGGACAGTTGTTTGGGACCCCCGATTACCAAGTCCTCTTCCCCTCTTCTCCTCCACTCTCCTCCTCCTTCTCCTACTACTAAACTTCTCTTCCATTTTTTCCCTTCGTCTTCTTCATTTCCTAAGACAAAACCAAAACCCCTTGTTCTATCCATGGCTTCCATTCAATGCCGTTGCTCTTCCTCTTCAATTTCAAATTCAAGCCCTAGGCCCTCCCAACCCTCCCTCCTCGTCTTCTCAGGTCCTCACTTTACTCTCTCGTTCTTCAATTCGATCCACAAACCTAGCCTCACCTAACAAATTAGGCAAAACAATTGATGATTTTATTTGCTTAATTTGGTGCAGGTGGTACGGCTTTTAATGGCGTTGTGGAAGAGCTGAAGAGATTAACAACGCGTGTTGCTCACGTTCTCCCTGTTTCTGATGATGGTGGCAGCACTGCTGAGATTGTCCGCGTGCTCGGTATAATTTTTTCCTTTGCCTTTTCTTTTTCCAAGTATCATTAAAACCCTCCACTCCGTGCTGCTTAGTGGAAAAAAGAAATCTACTTTTTGTTAAGTTGAATCATGATATGGAAAAATGTAATGTAGGTGGTCCTGCTGTTGGAGATATTCGGTCGAGATGTTTAAGACTGTCTGATCAAAGTACTGCTGAAGCTCTTGCTGTCAGAAGATTGCTTGGGCATCGTTTACCTCTTCATGCCCAAGAAGCCAAATCCGAATGGTAATAATGTGTGTACTGAATGCATTTGATTTTTTTCTTCCTTCTTATTCGAGATATTATGTGAATAAATCTACTAAGAAATCTAATAAGTTAAAATTAAAAAAATGAAAAAAAAAAGAAGTAAAAGATACTATAAAGAAAAATAGAGGGTTACTTTTCGTTCTAAAATCTAAAAAATAAAAAATAAAAAATGGATTCGATACAAACTTCTTCTTTTAAGCCTTATTCGTTGTAGAAATTGGTTTTCGTTCCATAACTTGCATTTATCACTAATTTCTTCCTGCGTGTATTTGTGCTTTTTATATTTGACCTTTCCCCATGATTCAGTATAAGAAGTTGTAGGAAATTTTAGATGAAGTAAGAGAAAAGGAATTAAAGTAGGAAATTTGAGATAATGGAAAAAAAGAAGCTAAAATGGAGGAGAAAATTACCTGTCAGTCGCCTTAAAACATAAAAATTGGAGAAGAATTTGATATGCAAAGAGTATAATAATCATGCTATGTTAAATTTTCTGGTTAGGTATGTTTTATTTATGCAAAATGTGTCTTGTAATTTTTTTTTAGTTAAATTACTGTATTCTATACTATTAAATTCATTTTTTCAGGTTCTGTCCTGAATTTCTCTTGTTTTACTTGCTAGGTATAACTATGGTGCGGGTATTGAATAACAGTCTGCTGAGTTGGAATTTGGCAGGTATAATATTGTACAAGGAGAGCATTCTTTATGGGAAGGCGTATCAAGACCATACAATGAAACAATTCGAGCTTTTCTTGTTTATTTCCAAAATGAGGTAGGCAAATCTTAAAGCAATGCCAGATAGTCAATTTATTGCCATTTCATCTTGTAGATTTTCCTGATACGTATTTTCTACAAAATTGAGAGGAACTTTTATGTGAGACTTGAAGTGGATAATGTTGGTGATAGGGTATAGAAAAGTTAAGGGTGAAAACTCATAAATTTTTTAATATATGTATTAATTTTATCTTCTTTTTTAAAGTTTGCTGGATGTCATTATTGTTATTTATCTTGGTTCTTCTCCCAGATTGGTTTTGTATGTGTTGTTTCAGTCAAATGTTTTTAGTAATTGTTAGAACTTTTGAAATAATGCTTAGTGTGAAAACAATAAATGTTTTGTGAGTGCAGATCCTGCGGCGTCCCAATGAATCATTTTGCTTTAGTAATGGCAGGTACTTTGTGTCCAATTTTAGCTGTCTTGCTAATTTCTGTTTTGTGGTGTCATAGTGTTGTTTTCTATTTGGAATATGGAGGATCTTGTTCTCGAGTAGGCTTCCTATTCTACCAGTAGTTGGGGGTGATTTACCCTGAAGTCGTTGCATTCTAAAGTGATGAAATATTCTTGGATATCTTTTGTTGTAGCCTTTAAGTTTTTTCCGTTCTCGATGACAAGGATGACTTTCCACCTTAAATATCTCTTTCTTTTGTTCAATTTTTTTACACAATCATAACTTAACTGGCATGCATTTTTTTTGCAGCATCGGAAATTTTTTCTTTGCGGGGGCACGCATATTTTTCCAATCTTTAGATGCTGCAATATTTTTGTTTTCACGTGTTTCAGATATCCCAGCAGAAAGTCTGGTTCTTCCAGTCATCTCAACGAATGACAGGCTTACATTAGGATGTGAATTATGGGTATTGCTACCAATTTATGTTTAATATGTATGTCTATGACATATGCAGCATATATTGTATATCGTTTCCAAATTTATGTTTGTATACTGATAACCTAGGTCGTTGGTTTGTATCTGTTTACTAATTTTTACAAGTTCGAGAAGATGTTTTGCATGACAATTAATTCTCACAATGTAAACTATATATATATAAAAATAAAATAAAGTTTTCTTGGTTTATAATTCACTCTTGCAATTATGCTGCTAATGTTTTGTAAAAGTATGCCATTAAACAGGAGAAAGAACATTTATGTAAAATTAAAACTAGAAAAACCACTTATATGCTTGGCAAATTCGTAGACAGTAACTTTCCTTTCTTTTCTAATATTTTTTCACAATTTATGGTAGGATGGCACTGTTATTCGAGGTCAGAATGAGATTTCACATCCAACCAATGGCTCCATGCAACCCATTGATAAGGTATTGTTGTTTAACTCTGTGATTGGAAGTACAATCAGTTTCCTATTAGTTAACATTATCAATTGTTTACTGAGAATATCCAAACAGGTATTGCTGAGATATCTGATTTGGCCACTAATTGGTAATATATGGCGGTAGTTTGTGTTGCAATTGAGGTGGTGAGAAACTATCTTGTCTAAAAGTGGCTGTCTTGTGTGCATAAGGGTATCAAGTCTGGTTTATCATGGTGGTTGTGTGGTGTTGGGGCAATCGCATCTGAAAGGGTGAATTGTGTTAATCAATATTTTAGATTATAAGAATAGATTTCTTTTCAATTTACGATTAATTTGATATCTAAATGATATTAGGAAATACAATTCCCAGTTGTAATCCAAATTACAATTTGGACTGAGATTTTGTTCAACAGACCATGTAACCAATCTCTCGAGACAAATTGCTGACATGCATCTCAAGATAGAAATGGTGTTGTTGGGAGAATGTGTTAATCAGTTCAGATTATCTAAACATATAAAATTTCTTTTTGTTATCGTTAATTTGGAAACAGAATCCAATTCCCAGTTTGAAACCAAATCAAAATGGTGTTGGAATTGCACTTTATTGATAAATTCACATATACTTCACTGTTAAGTTTCATCACATCTGTTGTAAACTAACGTTTTTCTTCTTTAAAAATGTTTATTTCTTATGGAAAGAAATTCTTGTTGGTAGAGATGTTCTTCGGTCCCAGCACTTCCTTCAAGAATAAAGAGGGTTTTCTATATGTCAAGTGAGGGTGGAAACTCACTCCATGAGGTGAATACATCTTGCACTTTATTCTTCTACAACAAATAATTCTTGCAATGAAAAGTTGTTCTCATATCACGGTCATCTGTTCTCTGGTCAGTATACTGTAAAAGTGGCCTGGAACTTTTGGTACCACTTTTATATGCAATAGCCTGATATTGGAAAAATATGGAAAAGCAAAAATGAAAAGAAAGCATTCTGGCATTGGTACTTTAATAACATCTATCTTTCCTGTAATTGCTTATATACCACAATGAATGAAAACAATTATGTATTCATTTTAAACTTCTTTAACATGCCAGATAGTATGTTTGCAATTTGGAGAACACCATTTTCTTGCTTTGATATGTGAATATTCTATATATTCACCTGTTTCTGATCTCTTGCATGTAAATCTGATGTCACATAACTTGTAAAGTTTTTTCTTTTTGGTTTTTTGTTTTTTTGTTTTTTTGTAATGTTGAATAATTTTGCATACATGCTTTATGTATTTGGTGATACAAGGACATAGGACATGCCTAGACCTTTCAAACTTCTCTAGTTACATTGATGTCTTGTTTCCTTTGTGAAAATTATTTATGAGGAAAAAAAAGCAACTTTCTGTCTCTCAAGTTTCTTACATTTGCACATTCATGCCATGAAATGTGGATCTTGGTTGTTGAAATATATAATTTTTGATATCTAATAATGCTATTTTCCAAATCAAATAGGTCTTCCCCACGGTAAATCCGTCAGTCTTGGACCAATTGAGTAGCGTGGACTGTATTGTTTATGCAATGGGATCCCTCTTTACTTCCATCTGCCCATCATTGGTAAAATTCTTTATTAGATGCTTTTACTAAAATTTAACTTTCATTGATGGTTGCCAAATTCTTTTTCTCATCTTTTGGTTGGTACGAGGATATTGAGAGATTTTGTTACTTGTAGTTCATTATTAGCTATGTTGTTTAATTCTTGGTCATCATTAACTATGACTTATTTTAGGTGTTGCGTGGGATTGGAGAAATTATCTCTTCCAGGAACTGCCCTAAGGTACTGATATCATAACCTCCTAGAAATGTGTAAATTGATGCATGTGGATCATTTCTTGCTTGTCTTATTCGCATAAAAATCTATCAATACTTTCTAGATTGATCATGTCAAAGATGTGTAATTTAGAATCCTTTGGCCTTCCATATTTGGACATTCTTATATATGATTCAAAGGCTGAACATCAAAATATGCTGCTTTTTTAGCATATATGCGCTGTACTTATTTAGCCCCCTCCAACTTTAGGTACTTTTGTTGAATGGTACACATGATCGGGAGACAAGCGACTTTTCTGCTTCTGGCTTTGTAACTGCCATAACAGATGCCCTAAATCGAAAATATGGAGATCCTGATTCTTGCTTGGAAAACTTTGTAAGTGTATAGATGGACTTGTGGTTTTTGACAATTAAGTTATGATGAAAAGATATTCTTCTGTTTTATCCAATGTTTAGAAACAATTCAGAGTACCCTTCGTCCTGGTTGCTGGAGAAAACTACCATTTTCCACCTGTGTTTGAATCGACAAGTCAATTTGCACCCTGTGTTTTCTATTTGGTTTTGCATCCAAATTGGTACCAATGATATCCAATTCAACCCATTGAATAACTTCTGTTTACAGGTTTGTTAAAATTCAAATATTACCTCACATCCATATTCGTAAAATGCAACATAGGAGTCTACATCACTTTAATTTAGAAGCTAAGAGGAGCTATCGATTGGGTTGAATGGACTGCATTTGCTCAATTTGGGTGCACATGACCAAATTGAAAATACAAGGTGCAAATTGACTATTCAATCCAGCACAGAGGCAAAACATCGTCAAATAAAATGGTCCTTTCTGTCTACATACCTTTTATGAGATTCTTTGTAAGTTGATGGTTGCATCATTGCCTCATTAGTCATTTAGCATAACCATTTTTTGGCTGAATACGCTGAGTTAAAAAAAAAAAAAAAAAAAAAAAAAAAAAAAAAAAAAAAAACCTGGACTGTTTTGGGAGCCATAGCAGTTATGGGAATCATGATTTTCCAGCCTCATATGCTGATGTACTTTTTGCTCCTTTTGTCACCTCCAACTTAAAGATCACTTTGTCATGCTAGTAGGTTGTTGGTTTTTTGCTTTCTAAAAAAGTCCTTTTCTTTCAGGTTTGCTAAATATCTGTGATAAAACATTTAATATATGGGGGCATGGGAAACTTCTTTGGTAGTAAGCAAAAATAGACAGAATGATGCATGCTATTTACTTCCTTTGATATTTCTATGCAGCCAAACAAGTATATCAATACTCTTTTAGTTCCCAAAGATGGTGAAATTCCCATTGATGTGCAATGCTTGTCTTCCCAAGGGATCTTTGATGTGGTATGTGTGCTTATATCATTTCTTTTAGTTGCATTTAGACTAAATTGTGGCAGTGACATATTCAAACGATTATGTGGTATGTCTTGAAGTTCAATGTTTTGTTTGAAGCGAGTTTTGTTGGTTTGAAAAATAACTTTGACAAGTCTAGATGTCTTATTTTTAGTTGAGTACAGGAGTTCTGTTTACTATGATCTAGACAAATTCTAGAATAGAAAAGATATCTGAGAAATTCCCTCTGGACATTTCCGAGTATGATACCCTCCCTTAGCTCATCTCTTTGCATTGGTTATTTTTCCATAAAAAGCTCAACTTTTCCTATTATACTTGCTTTCCGCATTGACTTGATGATTATGGCATTGTCTGGCAAATTCTTAAGGCAGATAGGCAGGGAGTTACTCAGCTGTTATTATGTGTGCTCTATTCAATGATTATGATATTGCCTCAATTCTTATAGGGGACCAGAAAGCTAAGGAGAGCACTTTGCTCTTTTTTCTTAATTTGCCTCACCTGATGATGTTAAGTTGCTTTATTTGTTCATGAGGTTCAACAAAATATGGTTTTGCAGATCATGGTTGACGCCGTATGTGATCCAAAAGTTGGTGTATTGTTCAACCCAAAGTCATTAATAGATGCCCTTGCCAATTTGATTGGCAGATACACGAGCACAAATGTGACGAAGGATTGACTACATTTTGACAGAAAAATTGTATTCAGGAGTAAGCATGATTGCTTCATGTGCCTCTGGAATGATTCCATTCACTGAGATGTTTCATATAAGGTAAAGGTTTGAGCAAGTCAACTTTCAACAGCAAATGCCAAATTTTTGTACTTGTTTGCTCTTCCTATTGAATGATCTGAAATACCTCATGAATTTATATCAATATTTAAATATAGTGTATTGGCGGGTAAACTTTGCCCGCTTTTGGTGTCAGATGATGCAAAATTCAATCGAAGTACATACGAGGAAGCATCAACAGTATGGGAGCCTCAAAAGGAGTCCTAGCATTTGTTAGTGGAACTAGTAAAGAGCTGTACAAAATGACCGTAGATGTACCTCTGGCTTGAACATGAACTTCATGGTGCACCTGAGAAATTTAGAGGCTGATATAAATAGCCATTCTTCTTTTTATGCTACTTTAAAAGTGTCGCTGCGGATTCAAGTGTTGAAATTTATTGATATTTCATTCTGTACTGTGTTGGATCAGCCATGGAAATCATACGACATCATATTAAGGTTATTTGAAAGTTGTACTTGTGGTAGGGCAGGAAGTTTCGCGAAATTTCATAAACTCTTTTGGATCCACGTTCATTTTATCTACACCCCCACTATTAAAGTGGTTGAACCATCTCCATTCTTTCTTCACTGATTTTCAGTTCAATAATCACTTGGGCATAAAGCTAGCTACTGTAAAAGCAGATTCCTGCAATAAAATTATTTGGTTCTAACACTGTTGCAACTCTATTTTGAACTAATGCAACATCGGCCTTAAAAAGTGCTGGAATTCTTTTGGATCCCTCTATGCCTCTGCTAAGGTCTTGAGTTTTAACCCCTACTTGCTGGATGAATATGGAGGATAGCACCGGTCATTGATCAAAGCCTTAGAATAAGCAAAGCAGAGCAACAATTTTGGCATAACCCTGCAGAATACTGTCATCTCATCTCCATATCCACTGCCTTAACATTGAATTCTCATGTGAGTTGAATCTGTATTATGTTATTGAACTTGCAATAGATCAATTTTCTTAAAAGTTTACGAGTTTTTTTTTTTTTTTTTACTAATTTCACTTTCCAGAAGCCCAATTGCTCCCGCCTGTTATCGTGGGAACTCAATCTGTTTGACAAAGAGTCCTACTTGGATTCCCAAGTGTGTAGTTTTTGGCGAGATTGGAAATTGTTGCTTATACACAGAAGAGTTGAAGTTATGCCTAATACACACAAAGAATGGTAGTTTAAAAAACTTGGTTAATGAAATGGCAAAAAAAGAAAAAGAAATACAACATCTCAAACCAATACAAATCCTACAAAACACAGAAATGAAAGTGAGTAGAAAGCAGCAGCAGCGTCCAAATTTGGAGTCTGTACCATGCAAAACGTGCCTGATTCACCAGGTAATTGGCTTCCACATTTTAAGAATAAGGTTATTGTGGGAATGCAGTTTGAGACATGCCAAAGCAAATTCTATAAATACCTATAATTCTCAAACGAAAAATCATATGCACATCCTACAAACTGCACTTGCCTATAATTACCATCTTGCAAACTTCAGTAAACAGAATGGCCTTCATATCTGAAAACAAACTTTTTTATGCAACGTTTTTAGTGGTAGCGCTTATGGCAACCCAAGCCTGGTCACGTACACTATATGAGGCTTCCATTGCTGAGAGGCATGAAACATGGATGGCTAAGCATGGACGTGTGTATAAAGATAACTTAGAAAAGGAGAAGCGGCTCAACAGATTCAAGAACAATGTGGAGTTCATTGAATCGTTCAACAAGGCTGGGAATAGGCCGTACAAGCTCAGCGTCAATGAATTTGCAGACCTTACTAGTGAGGAATTCCATGCCACACGCAGCGGGTACAAGATGTCTTCTCGTTTGAATCCATCCATTACCAAATCTTTCAGGTATGAAAATGTAACTGCTGTTCCATCTACCATGGACTGGAGAAAGAAAGGAGCTGTTACCCCAATTAAGGACCAGGGTCAATGCGGTAAGGCAGATCATAACCAGTCATCTACTAATCATTTCTTGAAATGTTCGACATTTCATTTTCAAAATTCTTGTAGACTAACTGAAACATCCACTGTTATGTCAACTCTATGGAAATATAGGATGTTGCTGGGCATTTTCTGCAGTGGCTGCAACGGAAGGTATTACACAGCTCTCAACTGGAAACTTGATCTCTCTTTCAGAGCAAGAATTGGTTGATTGTGACACAAGTGGTGAGGACCAAGGCTGTAATGGTGGTCTTATGGATGATGCCTTTCAGTTCATCATTCAGAACAGAGGCCTTACAAGTGAAGCTAATTACCCCTACCAAGGAGCTGATGGAACTTGCAACACCAGGAAGGCTTCAGCAAAGATCACTGGTTATGAAGACGTGCCGGCCAACAATGAGGCGGCGCTAATGAAGGCAGTGGCCAACCAACCAGTCTCAGTTGCCATTGATGCTAGTGGATCTGCCTTCCAATTCTACTCAAGTGGTGTTTTTACTGGAGATTGTGGAACTGAATTAGACCATGGTGTGACTGCTGTTGGGTATGGTACGAGTGATGATGGTACCAAGTATTGGTTGGTGAAGAATTCATGGGGAAGTTCCTGGGGTGAGAATGGGTATATAAGGATGGAAAGAGACATTGATGCAAAGGAAGGTCTTTGTGGAATTGCCATGCAAGCTTCCTATCCAACTGCATAAATGTCAAAAAATGATGGGCTAGTCTTCCTATAGAGTTACCCTCTAGTATATATATATATTGCCATTGCTTCATGTTAAACATACCTATGGTGTGCTATTTCTTTTCCCTTCTGTAAACTGTTATTTCACATTTTGTATGTATCTAAAGTCTTTTGCTTTGTTAATGAAATGGACTGTAGTTGCTTTTGGTAATAACTTTTCAAGCCAAAAAGCTGCATACTTTTGATAAAGTCTTAAAAAAAACCCGGTTGCTTTATTTTTAACAATACCGTCGTTCCAACGGACTCCCCTTTTCGGACATATTCAAAATGTCCTAAAGATATATGTTTACAAAGACAATTTTCAAAAAATAATTTAGCTGAACTTCAAGTTAAAGACCCTTAATCTGTCAGTAAGCATTGAGCAGAGAGCAGGTGCTAAAGCAGTTCAGGTTCAATGCTATATGAATCTATGGATCTTTGTAATAACAGCCAACTTGCCTGGATGCTAGGGTAGCAGTGAAAATCGATTGATTCTTGGTAGATAAGGAAGATCACATGTCAGGAAAGGCTGCCCTTTTTCATTCCATAAATGAAACTGGAAAACATTTTGAAGATCTTCAATGTCCTAGGATTGAGTGTCTGCTCCGAAAAGAGAAATGAAATACTAAGGCATGCGCAGAATTGGTCTCTCTGATCCATTATGTTCATGCTCCATGAAAATGTTCAATCCTCGGCTAATCTTACTTTGCGTAGCATAGATGCAATATTAGGTGGAAATGTTTACAAAATAGAATATTTAGAACTATGATATATGAATTTTTAGCAGGAACGAGCGGTAAAGTAATAGAGACATCTGTGCTCAAATTACCAGCAAAAACAATGGATAATTAATGTGATTTTGCTAATTTTGGAATAGGCTGCCTTCTAGAATCACCAAAATGAACTCCTAATTTTGGCTTGCATAATTGAGGTCTTGTTCCAGGAAGAATGATTTGGCTTCTTCCTAGCATAATAACTCCATCGCTGTATAACATAATAACATTCGTGTTGGAAAATATACAGCTATAGAAAAGGACAATGTTTTGGCTGTCAAGCTTCAGAGATCTTATTCATAAAAAAAGAAAAAAGAAAAAAACCCTCCAGATGTCCTTTTCTTTTTCCTTTCAAATCTTTGATTTTTTTTTTTTGAAGTTAAAATTCAAATCAAGTAATGAGTCGTGAAAGACTCGTCCACTAAAAAATAAAAACATGGCTCATGTAGGCAGAATGAAGATTTGATATCCAAAGAGAATGTTAGATGGTTACTTGCACTAGATACCTGTGAAACAAGTCTTTTTGGTTAGATGAGAGAACCTCCGATGATCGAGTTAGTAGTTGAAATGTGATAGGCTATTTTTGGAGAAAATGTTTAATTACAAGTATATTCTTAAAATGAGAAAAGAATATTCGGGATTTAGAACTTGTTTTGAATCCATTACTCTTTAGTGATTTAGGACTTTATATAGACGAGTAATTGGTGCAATTTACATGACAAGAAGGACAAAACTATCCTTTTACTTTGGTGCTAATGGTCGAGCCAATAGCCGATGGTGATCTCGCTATCATTCCATCCGATCTGCGACATCATTACTTATATCTCGATGAGTAGTAATTTGGTATCATTATGGGAGAATATCTTGATTAAATTCTTTTTGTCTCCTAATGATAGTGGAGAAAAGTGGGGTCTTTATTTCATGGGTTGGAGTGCCATAGGATAAGAAGGTTCCTAAGCCTTTCCTAAGGGTGACCTGTCTTATAGGGTGCAATTGTCCCTTAAGAACTTTAGGCCTATCGATTTGTTATTGCCTTATGCTCGTGACTTATAGGCTTGAGTTGGGCTTGGTAGATTTGATTTTATGTGCGTTTATGGATTCTTTCTATTGAGCCGTACAAAGACGACACGTGTTTTATGAGTCTATCCCTATTATTAGTTCCCTCAAGTCTTGGCGAGCTTGCTTAGCTTAGACTTGAAAGTCGTTGGCTTGGGGGTTTCAAGTGACTTGCTTTATCGAGGGAGAATATTACCGTTCTTCATTCCGGTTTTGCTTGGTTGAAGTTGATTAGCAATTTTTTGTTCTTTAGAATTCTAACACTTTGAAATTGGTGGTTTTGAGTAAGAGAAGGGTAATCGTCTACACACGAGTGCTTCTATTTCTATAAAAGGTTGCATCTCTTGTGCTTTCCAAAACAATAATGATTAACCTCATTAAAAATCTATGCACCTAACTTATTGTCGTATACCAATCTACCCTTTCAACGATAGGGCTTTCTTTTGAATATGGCATGTCATGATTAGAAGAGGACGTCCTTTTTCATTTATATATAGGCTTTATTCAAGAAGTCTTTTGCTTGCTTCTACGAGCTTGAGACTTTATTAAAAAAGATTTTAGCGAGTTGTTTGACATTTCTTAGATTTTTCCGGAGAGGTTTTCTCTTGTCACTCTTATTCATTCTCAACTCGCCTTCTATTTATCTTCGAGAGTATTTCATCTCAATTAGGTGCTTTTATGAGACCTTTTTTCTCCCTTCGCATCTACACTTGTAGAAGTTAATCTTTTATCTTTTCTTCTATTTTTTTTCTTTTTATCTAGTATAGAGATGAATGACTTGGAGAGACTCGCAGGTATAT